CCTGGGCCGCCGCCGCAGGGGCCTCTCCCCGGCCTCCCGGCCCTGGCTGGGTGCCGCCGGGGTAAATGCAGGGGGAAAACGGGAAGGGTTCGGATAAAGCTTGCAAGAGCACGTCCCTCCGCCTTCCCCCCTCTTCAGTTTTGTATGGAAGTTTATCCGGGAGGAGCGGGAACGTAAGGAAGGGCCGGCCCCGAAAGTCATTCGTTTTGGCTGCGAAGGCAGTTGAGGAACAGCTTCTTTTGGGTCGAGAGCTTTGGATCCTGAGGAACTTCTTCCCTGGGAGCTTCCGCTCGAGTCAGAATAAATCCTCCTGGGGGATAGATTTATGGGGTTGATTCATAATGTGTGTCACATCTTTGAGACCGTTCGTAGACTACAGGCATTTTTTAAGGTCGTTGTCAAAGTTCGGGTTCTTTTTTTTTGGCACTTTCTGAGAGTCATTGGAATGGGTCGCCAAACCACAAAATTAGCTTCAGTAGCAGCCTGATCAAGCCCAAAGGTCTGCAGCCACTGGAAAATGTGGTTATTTGAAACCAAAACCGCAGCTTTTCAAGCATGTGACTTGCTTCAGATAAAATTTAGTCTTGAGCAGAAAACTCAGACAGAGCTCAGGTACCACACGATTTTTTCGTTTTTCTTTTTTTTTTTCTTTTCTGTGGATGTGATTATGATAACGTTGTGTTGGTGCTCACCTTTGGGGTTAGTTTCACTTTTAAAAATTGGCATTTTTGGTGACTATGAAAGTTACTACTTCAAGCTGCACTTTTCATGTCACAATCAGCTAAACTAAGCAAACCTCCCCAACTATCCCTTTTCTGTTGCTAAATATATATACCCACAGTGACATACACAATGACTTTTAAAGTCATTCTTAACATTAAAATGGAAGAACAAGGAATTGGCTACTAAGCCAGTAATAGCAGGCACTTTAATGGTCTGTCTAATATAGCAAAGTATTCTCCCAATGCTGTGAAAATTAAACAATTAAAATACCAGATTAAGAAGCAGATTTGTAATACGTGGTACAGGATGGCTGTAGTATGTTCATGGTCAGAATCTATTCTTAGACTCTGATTTACGATTTGCATTTAAGAGTAAACAATATGACATCATCATCATCATTGTAAAAAAGATCCAGTGCAGTAGTTTTTCACCTTTTCTGTCTGTGCTTTCTCTTAGAAAAGTTACAGAAGTATATTGCTATATAACATTTAAGAACTTGCTTTTCTTTTATACTTGTCGCAGACTGTTTAGAAGTAATCTGTGGACTTCAGAATTCATTCATTGTTCAACCACTGGTTCAGCATAAACCCATTTGTCATCGTATGTGTAATCTGAGAACCAGTGCTCTAATTTTGTTCAATGAAATGTAGACACCTATACTGAAGCGAGTGTAACTAAGTTAGTTTCCCATCATAGTCAATGGTGAGAAAAAGATGCTTTAGGGAGCAGATCGTCTCATTCTGAATCGCAAGTCCAAAATATCTCAGATGGATTGCGGTCTATCCTCTTTATTGTAGGGTAGATTTAGGCAAGAGAAAGCGTTCTTATGGAGAGATTTCTGGTGGGGTGTGACATAATGTTGTGTTAAGCTGTTGTACTGGGAGCAGGTCACATCCTCCATGGAGGGAAAGCAAACCCAGGAGTCATGGGATTGGGAATCTGGGAGTTGAAGGCAGATGTCAGTTAAAGATGGCTCCAGGAAGCATGAAGCAGGAAATGAATGTGCAACTGGAGGGGGAGGAGGAGAAGAGCTATGGAAGGACAGGTGAAGAGATCTATGCTAACTAGTTCTTCAGAACAGCTGGGCTAGACATAGCAAAGGTTCAGAAAAAAAAAAAAGGTGTGAGGCAGCCTTTGTTACAAGGTGAGCGGACTACGGGTAGCCAAGCGAAATTTCTTGTGGCTTTGCCACAAGGAGGGATCCTTAACCCTGAATAAATTGCCTGCTCCACAATGTAAGGGGGGCAATGCTAAGGGCAACAGGAAGGAGGTTTCAGAAACCCAGAGGACCTGTCAGCTGTATAAGCATCTCAGAGGAAAGAAGTGATTACTCTCAGGAAAGTATCTTCCCTGCCTTTTTTTTTTTTTTTTTTACTTAAGTATTTCAGTCTGCTTTTCCCCAAGAAGGAAGGGTAAAGAGAGGGAGTGTAAGTGAAGTGTAAACGCAAGAGCATTCATGTAGCCCATTAGAGCTAGCAGCAGATGGATTAGAGCTTTTGGTAGAAAATGAGAGAGCCAGGACTATTTCCCTGATTTTCTGATCTAGATCAAAGACATGAATCATTGCCAGTTTTGGGCAACCCCACTGCAAAGTTACGGGCAGTTAAGGTACAGAGCTCTTTCATTTTCTCCTGTTGGAGTTATATAATAATCATCACCTAGAAAGCAGCTGGTGAAGTAGTCGCTTTGTTGTTGGTGACTGAGGATCCTGTATTCCAGTTGTAATGTTTTTCAACTTAGGTACTGTTTAGGAATGACCAAGGGACTGGGTCCAGTGAGTTGGGCCCACTAGGTCCATTCCTAGATCAGGATTACCTTATTGGAGAATCCTGCTTTGATATTCTTGGTCTTTGGCATCATCTGCAGATCTGGGCAACTTATTCCCGTGAGGTGGTGTTGATGCTTGGTTGCACATAGCCAGGGTGCAAGGAAATCGGGCACTGAAGTAGGGAACAGTTGAATCCCATTGCAGAGGAACTTTGTTGGTGTGTAAGTAGCTGTTCAGGTACTTGGTACCTAATTTCTTTTGAGGCTGTGGGCCTCTGGAATCCTGTACCACAGTTGAGAGCCAGGTGAGGGTGCTGATAGGTGATTCTCATTGGTTTGAGCTTTTTGCTCAGAACAGGAGAAGTTTTTGAGAAATGTCTGACACTGAGAAATCTCACTGAGAAGTGGAGTCTGAGGTAGAGATCAGGCTAGGAGACAAGCTAGTGATGACAAGTAACAATCAGTTGAAAAGATGGGGTGAGATACTGGCCTCACCAAGGTCAGTAACAACTTTCAACAATTTCAGTGGAATGAGGATTTCAGCGTATGGCCAGAAGTTGTGAATAGCTAAAACATAAAATACTCATGTCCCTATTCTCTTGATCATTTCAGTAATTGAGATGTTTACTGGCTGTCTTGAAATTTGTATATATGCAATGTCTACCCAGTCTGCATAATGCAAACTCTGAAGCACTGTAGGATTTTGCAACATTTTTATAAAACAGGAGACATACTCTGCAAGGTGTACCCACCTCTGTGCAGAGGCCAGCACAAGATTTATGTATTGCTTAAGAGACTGTGATAGATGCTATCAAAGTACATCCTTTTCAAAGGGCTCAAG